GTGATTTAATTCTGGCTAGACTGAAGTCAGTAGCTATATTTCCATCCAAAGATGTGAATTTAACTTATGCGCAAAACTGGAATATTGCATAAAACATTCTCGAATAAAGCACCATTTCCATCCAACGAGTCAAAGAAAACAAAATTGTCACTTCCTGATAAACTGGCACTAAATATCTCTAAGAAAACTAAGAGAAGCCACTGAATACAATAATTTTCATATGTAATAAATTACTTGCGCTTCAGAGAGAGCAGACGTAACACAATAAATGCGGTCATTGATTTTAGAGGTGGATGCCTTCTGTTTTCGGAACACAGTCATGTAAGACAGTAATTATACAGAACAGAGGCGGACTTAACCATTAGGCAAAGGTAGGCGATCGCCTTGGGCCCCAAAAGCCAAGGGCCCCCTAAAATGCTTTTTATATTCGAGATGCGGACACACAAGTGGTTGCTGTGGTGTTCATTACAACAACAACCGTCTGTGCGTCCGCGTTGAACGTGCTTCTTAGCAAAATTAGGGACCTATGATTTCCGCGATGTAGAAAATGTGGACGGAATCCCGGAATCCATTCATAAAAACGGACCCCTTAAGAATGTAATTTTTGTTAAACTTTTAATAGGCCTACATTGCTGTTAAATTAAACAAGTTTCATGATTTTAATTAATTAGACATGGTTTTTGTTACAATTAAATATAATCATCCAGAAAAATTGAATCCAGAAAATTTCAAACGAAAAAAATAAAGATTTTGGAAAAAATTAAACTTGGGCTAATTTGGGAAAAATAAAACTGATTTCATAGGGCCCTACAAATATCATGCATCTGAAGCTATAATGTAATACTAAGCAACAGTGCATATTATATAGGGCCTATTTTAATTTTTTTAAATGGCGCTCATTTGTTTTTGTGAAGGACCCAAGAAGGACCAAGCACAGTTACTTTCCACACAGCCATACTTCACGTTTGGTTCAAATAATCCTTAAGCGTGTAAATGTATAATTTCCTTCAGTTTAATTTAAATGTGTAATTAAAATAAATAAAAAATAATTTTAAAGTTTAGAATTAGCCTTGCGTTGTGTAGGCAATTGCATAGTAAAAAATTACCCCAAAGCACCCCCTAGTGTCCAACCTACTCTACTACTATTATAACCTGTTTAAATGTGAACAAGGGATCTACAACATTAAGGAAATCCTTTATTTATAACATGCACATGAAAAATCTAAAAGATTAGACACAACTATGGGACACGGTCGTGCAGCAGCGAGCATCACAACAGAGAAAGGAACCTCAAGGTTGTAAATGTGTGAAATTGTATAGGGCCCCATTCCTGTATTTTGCCTGGGGCCCCAAAATCACTAAATCCGCCCCTGATACAGAAATACTTTGATGACAGACTTTCCTCAGGCATTTCAGAACATCTCGGTTACTTGTGTAACCCTCGTTCCCTGAAGGAGGGAACGGAGACGTTACGTCAATCGTGACTGACGAATTGGGATCTCGCCCGAGAGCCCAATCACCTTCGAGTGTTAACTAAACAAGCCAATGACAGTTGGCGTGCGTGTTTCACCATGCGCACCCCGCCCCGCAGCGCGTGTATAAAAGGAGAGCGCGTGCAAACGATTGGGCTCTCGGGCGAGATCCCAATTCGTCAGTCACGACTGACATAACGTCGAACGTGACTGACTGAAAGGGAACGACCAAAACAACATATAGATGCTGTGAACGGGATCGGTCCGCTGTTTAGTCAAGTTATCTCATCTCATAGCGCAAAGTCACATGATTTTTCAATGCGCATGGTGGAATTTATTTGGTAAATGTGTTTCCATCGTAGTTTATGCGCATTTTTTCTTATCGGATAAAAATTGTATTCTACTCAGTTGTGCGAAAACATTTTTATTTTTTTTTTACATTTTTAGAATTTATGCGCATCTTGACGTTTCCATCCAGCGTTTTTTTATGCGATCATCCAAAATGCACATACAAATAGGTGGATGGAAGCGTAGCTAGTGATAACGTTTTTTGATAGGCTAATGTAAATGTTCTTTGCTGTCTTTCTGTACAATGAAAATGTTATAATTAGTAACTTAAAATGTTTTTATTAAATTCACATTAAATACAAAGTCAGTCGTATTAAAATTATTTTATGGCATTACACCCATATCTGGTATTAAAGTAAAAAGATGGGTTTTTATGTGTAGTTAATAGATTACACTATTAGGCTAATTTGCCCATCGCCCATTATAGCTCAACTAAGATAATCTATAAAGGTGCAAAATGCATTTACTTACACATATTAGAGAAATGAGAAATTTTATGACATAAATAACACGTTTGGGAACATTTCGAATAAAAAGGAAAAAATAAATAAAACATAAGCCAATATCAGTTATAAAGTGCTATCGTGGCTGCTGTGTGTCACATGACAAGCATGACGAGGCCAGTCTAGTTATACTAAATGAAACCTGCTTTAATAGCTGTTTGTGTGTTTTAGCTGCAGTCCGCTCTGGGGTTGAGTCCGGTCTCTGACGTTAAACTGTCCTGGACGAGACTCCCCTACCGTGAAGTAACACACGAGGAGAAAAGAACAACAAGGTAGGAGCATTAATCTATAATAACTGCATTAGGGTGCAGTTAATCAAATTAATCGTGATAAATCTCACTTCCACTGAAGCGCAACAGGCTCTTTAGAACCTGCTGGAGAATATGATTATCACAATATTTATGTTTTATTCACAGGACTTGTGCTGGTAAACGTTAATCTGGAACCACAGACTGAATCTTTGAAGCAGACATTCATTTATTTGTTATTTTTATAATTAATTGATCTTTGTAATTGTTTCAGCTGCTGACATTCATATTCATCTTGTCCTACATGCTTCATAAAATTGGTTTGAAATATTCTGTATAAATATGCATAAGTACTTAACTGAATGTATCAGTGTACATACAGTATGTGAATTATATTTTAATTTCATCAAGTAACACATGCTCATTTCATCAATATAGCAGTTTATCTGAAGAACAATTGAAATTACTCTGGAAAATAATGTGTTTTTTTAACCTTAAACTGCGTAAACACATTTATTTACACCAAATACACAAAATAATGGTTTTTTTAGCAACGTCATTTGACCCCTTTAATCTATAATAACTGCATTAAGGTGAAGTTATTCAAATGAATCATGATAAATCTCACTTCCACTGAAGCTCAACAGACTCTTTAGAACCTGCTGGAGAATATGATTATCACAATATTTATGTTTTATTCACAGGACTTGTGCTGATAAACGTTAATCTGGAACCACAGACTGAATCTTTCAAGCAGATGTTTATTTATTGTTCATTTTTATAATTCATTGATTTCTGTAATTGTTCCGGCTGCTGACATATTTATACTCATCTTGTCCTGCATGCTTCATAAAATTCCTTTGAAACATTCTGTATAAATATGCTAAAAAAAAGTATAAAAGTACTTAGCTGAATGAATCAATGTACATACAGTATGTGTATTATATTTTCATTTGATCAAGGAACACATGCTCATTTCATAGCAGTTTATCTGAAGGACAATTAAAATTACTCTCATTCACTGATAACTACTGACAATATAAGTATATTTATTTTACTGGGATTGTGTATCAGTTAATTTATTACAATACAATTTTAATTAAAGCAATAAGCTACTTAAAGCCTCGTGTTAAAGTGATGCTGCAGTGTGTTGTGTGATGTTCAAGAATGAATTTACTTTATGTATATTTATCCAGAACAAATTAAATGTGACCATGATTGTCTGAGTCGCCTTGTTTAAACCCTGAACACACAATATATGAATGTTACTGTGTTGACTATTAAAAAGACTTTACTAAAAGACTCTCTTTCTCTCTCTAAACTTAACATTTAACTCCTATCTGTATAATAGAAAGTTATAGTTGAGAAGACATCATGTGCTATTTATGAAGTAAATGACAAATGCCTGATCCAAGTGGTATATTAAGCAAAAGCAAGAGTGAAGATCTTACTACTGCCAGAAATATATATATAATGAAAACACACCAAATAATGTTACATCTACATCGTTTAAGCACTATTAAACCCTCTGATGCATGATGTCCACTACAATAGACAGGTCTTCAACAGCTTTTTAACATTTCCGGTTATCATGTTATATCACTACACACAATTCTATATCACTGTCCTCTTGTTTTAGCATTATTTTCTTTATGACAGCATCAAAAATCTAATTGGCTGATGAAAGTGGTGATGCATCAAGTACCACTGAAATAATTGCTGCTATTTTTTGTTTCAATACAGGCATGTGTCTTTCAAAATACATCATTTTGAGGGAATTTAGGTGAAAAAAATAATAATAATATTTTATATATATTTTATTTTTCCCCTATAACAAACTGCATAATTTTGGGAAGAACAAACTTAAGGTTTTTATTTATTTATGTATTTATTTATTTAGTTATTGTATCGTTTTATTAAAAATAAACCTTTCCTTTTCCTTCATTATAATTCATGGATCAGAGGGTTAAAAAACAGCATGTTTAGTCTGGCATCTTGCAGTAACTTTATAATGAATATAATATAATATAATAAAAATGAAACTCATGGCTGTTACTCCTCAGAGAAGCTCCAGAGATCTGCTTCAGCAGGCATCTGGAAATGAAAATCACAGAGCTTCATACGTTCCTCCTCATTAACCACATCACTGAGGGATTTTACAGAGTAGATTCACTCTAGATCGCTGGTTTTAGGAACAGACTCACCTTTTTCACGTTGAAACGAGCCAATGCACATTGGCATGCAATTATTGCATCCAGCTGCCGCTGATCACAGCATAAGTATAATAAGGCAGCAGGTGCAATGCATACCAGCTTTTCACTTCGGAGCCGAGCGACAGCGTCGTTCTGCTCAACTGTGTCTGTTCGAGAACGAGGATGCCCATTCGAAACCGAGACGTTCTCACCTCTTTAAGCACGCTGTCCGTTACTGTCGGGTCGGTCAGATTAGCAGTGGAGTTAAACGCTATCTTCATAAACGAGCGTCTAAAATAATCTAGGAGACACAATTCACTTTGAAAATGAAAAAGTAATAGGCCTAACTAGGGTAAAAGTAAACTAAAACAACCAAAAACAAACTAAAAAGATAACAAATTAATTTTAGTTTTATTATGAAACTTCTGCCTACATTAAACAGGAAAATGCCACTAGATTAGCAATAATATATTTAAAGCTGGTAACAGCACTTATGTTTTATTTATTTTTTCCTTTTTATTCGAAACATCCCCAAACGCATTAACTATATCATGAAATATATTAATCTCACTTTATAGATTATGTTGATCTAGTGGGCGATGGTCAAAGTAACCTAATAATGTAATCTATTAACTATGCATAAAAACCTTTCTGTTTACTTAATTAACAGACATGGATGTCATGCCATAACATATTTTTAATACGACTGAGTTTATTTAATGTGAATTTAGCATTGAAAGTTAATGTGAGTAAAAGCATTGCAAGTTAGGCTACTAATCATAACACTTTCATTGTACAGACAGAGAGCAAAGAACATTTAGATTATCAAAGAACATTTTCACTGACAGTCTAGTAGTTCAAGCACTCTCAAAAACTCCCATTAAAATCACTGAAGCTGTTTACACTGTGAAATTAATATCTTACAGATTCGTACACACATTTGCACGTTGTTGTTTCTGAGAGAGAATTCGCCAGAAAGAGGTATTTAGTCAGCGAGCGAGTGAAGAAAACACGGCATTTTAGCGACGACTCATCTGAACACCTCTGATTGGTCATTGCATTCATAAACTCAACAGCATCGCGTGTGATTGGTTAATGTGCAGTGCTGTAAAAACGTGTCTGTCTCCGGCTCAGCGCCAGCCAGCGAATGCAGATTTGAATTTAGCAGCTGATGATATGACGCACTGAACGTTATAATCACGCCGGTGTGATTGTATTAAATATAGAAAATATTAATCGGCTATTTTTTGTCTTTTGGAAGCTGCATTCAAAATCCACTTGGCTCAAAAATCTGAGGGGGCACGTGCCCCTCACTTTGAATGGGCATGACGCCTCTGATCAGTGATACCAGCTAATACATCAGCTTTGGAAACTCTAAAAATAGCCTACTTCAACAGAAAATTGAATAGACTTTTAAAACTAAAACAACGATACAGTGAAAACTATATTTAAAATGTAGTTTTCGCCGTTTTTATGTGTCTACAAAAGTGTCTAAGCATCTAAAAAACGAACTAAAGAATGATTTGCTGGAGTTTGATCACCTGTCTCGTATACTTCCACCTCACAAACCAAGAGGGCCTTGAAATCCAAGATAATGTATCCACGAGAGAAGACGTTTATGTACCGTCCCTCCCGATCTGAGCAGGAGTAGGTGACGCTGTTGGATGCTGAATCACTGGAGATCACGGCACAGCTACATGATGACACACACACACACACAGAATTTTACTTTATTTACGATCAACAAATAAATATATTAAATTACATAGGCGCTTTTACAGAAAATGGGAGATTATCAAGAATATCAATGATATCCTTGATGAGACCAGTGTTGGGTAAGTTACTATAAAAAAGTAATTAATTACTAGCTACTAATTACATCTTCAACAGTGTAATTCAATTACTGTACTAATTACTTTCTGTAAAAAGTAGTGCATTACATATTAGTATTACTAATTAAGCTACTTTCTAAATCCCATACTAAACTCAGTTGAACAACACAGACATGAAACTACTCTTTTAATTCTTTCAAATAAATAAATTGTTCTTGAACTGACCAAAGTTTAAAGAGAGAAGGTTAAATTAAAAACATGCAGTACATGTTTTATTGTTCTACAGTATTTAATGCAATTGCATCAGAAGTAACTGTAATTAGATTACTGAAAAATAAGAGCTTTTTTAAGTGAAAAGTAATACAATTACACTAATTAATTACTTAGTAATGCATTGCACCCAACACTGGAAAATCTTTCACAATCAGTTGAAATTTTCACACAAACGTAAAATCACATCAATAAAACAATATTGCTTAAATGTAGCGTAAAAATCATAATAAAATTAAAATGTATTTTACACAATCAGATTCCACTATTATTAAATTTGAAAACATTATAAAGTTCACTTACAAAATCTTACCAGACGTGCAAATTTGATTCTCATAATATGCATTCAATTATTCTTTTGTGATCTGGTTCCATTTTAGTTTAAGAGCTCAAAGCGGTGATGAACTTATCCTCTCTGTGGCTAATCTAATGTAATCAGTTACTAACTAAACTAAACTAAAGAAATAGGCTCACGCTGAGGTGCCTCACCTGGGATTGTCGTTTCCTTCGTCCTGCAGAGAGTTGCCGAAGCGAATCTGAAAGTCTTTCCTATTGTTTGGACAGCAGTCTTCTCTGTAGGTAACGACCACCATACTCACTCGATACGCAGCCTGAAGATCCAGCCTCCACCACGGTCTGGCCTCAACATTGGTTGCCGCACAAGAAGCAGAAAACGCTGAGATATCCTTCCCACCATCGATAGCGCGGTCCGCGGACCACTGAGCACCAGCTGTTGTCGACTGTGCAGCAGTTCCTCTTCGTGCCAGATTTTCTAGAAAAGGCAAATAGACATATGCTTGAAGTGGCTCTTTTCACTGCATTGAATTTCCATTTAAAATTAGCTTTACATTCCAGTGGAAAAGATGCGTGTGCACCTGTTTAAGGTCCCTACAGGTTTTCGCAAAATCATGATTTTGCAATGTCGTGTTTTCTGCGATCGTGCATATTTCGCCATTTTAACACATGAGTTGCTGTTTTTCTGATAAATAGATGGAAAAAAGAGCAGTCAGTACTGCTCAAATTTATTGACATGCATGCAAGAAGCATGCCTGAATGAGAGAAGAAAGCGTGGACAGTGCTTGTGCTTAATGTAAAAAAAAAAAAAAAAAAGAGTTAGCGCAAAATCCACGGTAAACGGATGTGTTTGTAATTTGCTTCTATTGTCTTAATTTTATAACAAAAAGAAGCATATGTTGCATAAAAAGTATGTGTCAAAATTCGGTAAGACACATAATAATCAAGGTGTGTGCGTGTTTTCTTTTTCTTTCTGTCACGTATGACTGTTGTACATCTAAAGTCATACAATATTGTAAACGTGTGATCCTAGTTATTAAAAAAAATTGCAAAATTCGGGAAAAAGAAAAAAAAAACATTGTGAATTCTTGGTGGGACTACAATTTTGGAACTAAATCTGACAAAAAAAAATTTGGGGACATGGGCACGTCCTCATTTATAAAAATGATATATAGCTTAAATGAATTACATACATTGTTGTTTTCGTTGTAAAAAACAGAAAGGTTATTTAGTTAACTGTTGCTAAGTAGTCTAAATGTATAACGTGTGTGCGTGCATGTGAAAATAAATAAATAGACAAATAATAAACAGGTGCATCAAAAAGTTGCTCTACCTTTAGCGCCCTCTGCCTGCTCCTGAACAGAAAACAGCCCTGTCCAAAAGATATTTAATAAGATCAATATAAGAAACAAACGTATGTTAAAGGCAAATAAGCATCCAAATTATGTTGCATTTGTTTTGTAAAGCAGTCAATGCCAGATTCATGTGATTGATGTATGCAAACGGTGATTTCCCTATTTATAAACAGGCATGAAAAAGGGGGCAAAGATAAATGTGTTTATAAAAATGACTGAATGAGTTTATTTGAACTATATAGTATATAAACTTTAATATCTTCAGCAAAATCATACAAATCCGATTATTTGAATTGCATTGTTTTGACTTCAATAATGAAAGTCTTATTTACCAAATAATAACAGCCAGCACTGGATGGTTCCCATCATCTCACAGAGAAGCCCTTATCAAATATTCCTCTGTAATGTTGGGGGAAAACAAAGATATGAAATACGACAGAGATTATGACAAATAAAGTGACAGTCTTTTAATGTCAGGGAGAGGAACATTGCTGTAAAATCTCAGTCTCCTGACAGCTTCAGTAATGACTGAGGGCCATTTGTTAATGTTTTACATGTCAGTTAAGCCACAAGATCATAGATTTTCATTTTAAACTAATTAAAAACATGGATTCAAAACATTGCGCTGTATTGACATTTTAGAGCAGTTTCTTTATTGATTTTTACATTAAATTGAATGTTAATTTATTAAAATAAATATTTTTTGTAAATGCATCATTACTAGACTTTTATTAAGAAATGCATTTTTTATTTTATGGTTTTGACACTATGTTTTGTAATCAATAACTGTCGCCACATATTACATATTGTCATATTTATTTTGTAATAACAAAACTGAACTGACCTGTCCTGTTGAGTGAAGTCCCACAAACTGGATCAGCAGCTTCTGTCAGCACGACAACGAAGTGATTTTACGGTCAGTTTGAAATCTGACTATGAATCCCGAAGATTTTCTTATGTTTGTCTCACTGTGTGACATCACACGGAAAATGTGGGCTGGGAGTCGGAATGAGAGCCTTTGCATTTGTCTAACGTTACCTGGCTGTTTGTACTTAAAATCAAGCGTTTCAACGTAAGATAAAGTAATGAGCAGTTGCAGTTGAATTAGAAACTAGGAAAGCAGAATATAAACTAACGTATGACCAGCAGTGACACACGTGATGCTGCAGCCACAGTGTGAAGAACAGCTTCAGTAATGACGGGGTTTGATGACCGAATGATGGACTTGAATTTTCTTTAATCATTCAGTGCTTTTGTGTTGAATCTGTTAAATCTTAGGACGTGTTATACAGTAACAAGCACAGATTATAAAACAGATCCTCATTATTAGTTTGTAAGAGTTACTGAGAAATTGGTGCTGGGAAATTCTAAGAAACACAGACAGATGATATTATGCCAGATCACTTTTAATGTTGTCTTTGAAAAGCAGAATAAAACAGTCTTTTCCGTAGTCCTCACGTCACATTCAAGGATATTAAAATAGACACACTATAGACATTAAAGTATGCTGGAATTAGTCAATCTTTAAGGCAAATGTTTTGCATGACGACCTGATAACAGCTGTTACATGCAGAAGATAAAAATCTATTATAAAAATAATCTGGGGAAAAAAATAAACTTTAGGTGGAATTAAACTACTTTCAATTATTAAGTAAATAAATTACATTACATTATGATTATTTCTGACATGAAAAGCACACAAAACCCTATATATGATGTTACATTTACATTATTTAAGCACTATTTAACCATCTGATGCATGATGCATTTTTTAAGCATCTTTTTTTAAACACATTAAGCATATTTTCCCTTTTATTTTCATTCACAATCCATGTATAATTACTTATTGTATTTATTTATTTAGTTAGACAACATTCAATCTGAAAACTTGAGCATTTTTTCCTTTTCTTTTTCTTTATGATTATTCATGTATCAGAGAGTTAATAAAAACAGCATGTTTGCAGTGACTATGAGATAAATATAATGAATATGATATAATGCAATTAAACTCATGATGGCTGTTACTCCTCACAGAAGCACCAGAATCTGAGATCAGCTTCAGCAGGCATCTATAAATGAAAATCACAGAGCTTTTACATTGTTTCTGGATTTTACAGTGTTTCTCCTTCACGTTAGATCGCTGGTAGTAAAAACAGACTCACCGTTATCGTGCAGATTATGGATCACTGCTTCTTCAGGGGTTTTGAGACCAGCTCAGAGTCACATTAGTGATTCCTCTCAGAGCCAGCGCTGACTTCAACTGCAGTGAACGATTCATTAGTATTATAGCGAGGCATCAGGCTGCGATAAGAGACAAACATCACGTTCTCACCTTTAAGCACGTTGTCCGTTACTGGTTGCGTTACTGACCGTTGGTCAGATTAGCGGTGGAGTTAAACGCTATCTTCATAAACGAGCATGTAAAATATTCTAGGAGACACAATCATTATATTCACTGTGTTATTATCGTTTACGAAAAATAAACTGAAAATTATAGCTATTTAGATTAAATTAATAAATAGAAACTAACATAACTGGGGAAAAAAATAACTAAACTAAAACAAACGTACATGTCCCAAAGCAAACAAAAATGCCTATAAATTAATTCTAGTTTTAGACTTGTGCTATATTATAAAACTTGAACGTTTGCAACCTGCCTAAATAATAATAATACCCTGATAGCACATGTACATCACGGAGACGTCTATTTGACGTCTGCATTACATCTGCACGACCTATTTTTTAAAGTGTTTGCTCATCTGCAATCCGTCTATAGGACGTTTCCTATCAGATGTCAAATAGACGTTTAGAAGATGTCTTTAAGATGTTTATGATTTAGAATGCATGTAAAACTCACATCTTAGAGACGTCTATCAGATGTTTGTACACAGGAGATGCTTTCCAGATGAAGAGATCTTTAACAAACATCTTGCAGACGTGCGTGTGCTATCTAAGCAATAATAATGACACCAGTTACCCTGATAGCACACCTATATCACGGAGACGTCTATTTGATGTCTGCATTACATCTGCAAGACGTATTTTTTAGAGTGTTTGCTCATCTGCAATCCGTCTATAGGACGTTTCCTATCAGATGTCAAAAAGACTATTCGAAGATGTCTTTAAGATGTTTATGATTTAGAATGCATGTAAAACTGACGTCTGAAAGATGTCTATCAGATGTTTGTACACAGCAGATGCTTTCCAGAAGAAGCGATCTTTAACAGACATATTGCAGATGTACATGTGCTATCTGGGTAATACATCAACATTAACTTTGGAAATCCTAAAATACTACAACTAAGGCTAAATAAACAAAGATAAAATCAAAACTACAGCAATTTCCATCTTTTTTTAAATTAAAAATGTAGTCATTAACTGGTTTTATTTGTCTACAATGTCAAGCATCTAAAGCCAGGCATTCTAAAACGCTTAACGTGAAAAACTCTTAGGTGGTTTAATGTACTAAAGCAACAACCAGTTAAAAAAAAAAAAAATCTCTCACATTTCTTTTGTCGTAAACACTATCTACTTGACAATGACACCATAATCCAAGTGGAAAGACAATCATTTTACATCAAGCGTTTTCCCCAATAGAAAACCATTATACGCTTAAGTGAAGTGACATGTGGCCAAGTATGGTGACCCATACTTGGAATTAGTGCTCTGCATTTAACCCATCCAAAGTGCACACACACAGCAGTGAACACACACACACACACCGTGAACACACACCCGGAGCAGTTTTTGTTTAAAGTTACATAATGCACTAAAACTGTGATAATAAAAGACTAAACTCAGTATACACAATACCGTTTTTATAAACTTTATACAGACAAGCAGATATGGCCAGAACATGAACGCAACGCACTGAATTGTAGCCTACGTTAAGCGTTTTCAAAGAAAACCA